TTAGCCCGAACTCCCCGAACACCTCAACGATGATGGTCATCATTCTCGCCAGTCCTTCTGCAGACCTCTTCCTCCCCCCCCGCTTCCGTCTTGCCTTCCTCCAAGCACACCAGGGTCCGCAGAACAAACATCATCCTCGCTGAATCGGATGACAACGACCTCGAGGACCTCGGCGAAGAAGATGTTGAACAGCAGTGGGGATAGCACACATCCTTGTCGCACGCCCTGTGTCACGAAGAACCAGTCCGATAGTTCTCCGTCGTCCATGCGCGCCCGGGCCCGCATTCCATCGTGGAATTGGCGGATGACTTTGATCAGCTTCGCGGGAATCCCGGCCCTGGCCAGCACCTTCCACAGCATCTCTCGGTCCACCGAACCTTACGCCTTCTTCAAGTCGACGAAGCACATGAAGGGCGGTATTTTATTTCTCCGCCCCAGCTCCTGGAGGCGGCGCACGACGAACAGCATGTCAACAGTGGATCGCCCGGGTCGAAATCCGCACTGTTCCTCCGTGAGGATGTTACTGGCCTCGCAGAAGGCGCTTAGACGGTTGGTGATGATCGTGATTGGGACCTTGCCTACGTGTGATAGTAGCGAAACCCCCCTGGAGTTGATACAGTTGGACCGGTCAACCTTCTTGTACAGCACCTTGATGGTTGCATCCTTCCACTCTCGCGGAATATCTCCTCCGTTCCACACCTTGAAGAGGATGGTAAGGAGGTGTCCCAGGACGAAGAGTGCGTCGTCATCGATCTTGAGCAACTCGGCAGGGAGGGAGTCATGGCCGGGTGCCTTCCAGTTCATGAGGCCTTTCGTTGCCCGTGCCACCTCCTCGAGTTCTGGCACATCTCCCAACCGTTGAGTGTCACGTGTCGCTGGCCGTTGCGTCACTCGTTCGATGATGTCTGGGTTGAGGGTGGGGGATTTGGTGTTGAGTAGGGTGCTGAAGCCCACCACTGGAGGATGTCGTCCCTGTTCCGGAGCAACACGCCGTTCTCATCCGCGACGAACTGATGTCCCCCCGCTTGTCTCCCGCTGGGGCCCACTGATCTCTTGAGGTGTTGGTACAGTCCTCGCATGTCGCGATCTTTGTAGATTGCTTCGAGTTTACTCACATATCCGTCCAGGTGGGCATAACTGTCCGTTTCGACTGCTGTAGCCACTCCCTTACACGCTGCTTTGAGAACCCTCCACGTCGCTGAGTGCCAATTGCCCCTCATCGCCCGGCGCGCTTCCCGACGTTTGGTAAGGGACTGCTCCAGCGCTTGTCTCGTCTCTGGGGTCTCTCACCACTCCTGCGTGCGGCGTCTCCGCGGAATTTAGTAGGACCCACCCACTGGCTGTAGGCGTGTTTCTTGTTAATATTATTAGTCGATTTTCTCACATGGATGTATTTTTCGCGAGAAAGGCCCAGCCAGCCTCATTTTCTTGACTACTTAAGTCTGCTGCTGTGGTCTGCCGGCTGCAACAGTCTATCGCCTCGTGCGCTGGAAAACGTACCCTGCAGTACATACACACTTGGCCACGGTTTGGTAGACTGACTCCCCCTTTGCAAGACAGCCGCAGCAGGAGTTGAGCCTTCGACGATGGGGTTGGAAGTTGGAAGTACTTGTGTTGGGGACCGCCTTGGCGACGATTTTGTTGTTATTATTGAAGTCTACCAAGGGGTGAGAAAATAGGGAGCGGGGTTTCGATCCCTAGCCCCCGACCCCACCCCGCACCCCCCACTATAAACCAAGCTTGATATCCTCACAACGGCTACAACAGTAGCTGCTTTGTGACCGAGAGAACGACCAACCAACCGCCAAGACGCACAACAACAACCAATGGAACCGGCACAGATGAGCTGATGGGTGTCAACCGCAACCTCGACAACGAGGAGGGCGTCATCGATGACTTCAAGGACGAGCGGGTGTGCAAGGCCTACCTGTGCGGCCTTTGCCCCCACGACCTCTTCAGGTGCGTACGTTGGTTTGTTGTTTCGTCCGCCACTGTCTGTGCAGGTTTCTCTCTCTCTCGAGGATGGTGCTGTTGTGGTATTCCACGGAGGCGTTATTCGTCCGTCCGCTCCTGCATTCGGTAGATTCTCCTCTCTCGGTAATGCTGCTGCTGTGGTGTTCCATGGCGGCCCTCTTGTTCCCTATTCTCACCTTGTTTGCGTTTCTTTCTTCGCCCTCAAGGGAGAAAGGGGGTGGCGCCCCTGGTGTGGTTCTGGTCTCTTGTTCTTTTCGTCTCCTTTGCTTAGTTTTGCCCGGGCGGAGAGCTTCTGTGGCTCATCTCGGTCTTGTAGCCGGCCCACCTCCCGTCTGGTCCATGACTTTGTGTGTCTAATATTTTTTCCGTTCGGCCCGTTACCGTTTTTTCTGGGGGTTTCGGCGTCTCTGTTATTGGTTATCTTGTCTTTTTTATAGCTTAGGTGTTATATACAGCACGCCAGCAAGCAGTAACGCCGCTGTTGGAAGTCAAGACCGAACGGGCCTAGTGCATAGCAACAGGACCGAGCGGCCCTGTGGCGGGTGGCACGTTTTGCGTGTGACATACCTACCACACGCATTGATTGTGCGACTGACGGACCAACGGCCCTGTTGCCTCGCCTCTCCCTCTCGTGGTCGGCTTTTTGTGTTGCTTGCAACCAGCAACACGAAGCAAGACCTGGGTGCGTGCGACTACCTACACGACGAGGAGCTCAAGAAGGTGAGCGAGCCTCCCGATGGCATTCGCGCGTTACGTCGTCGTTGGTGTTGCCTCGGGGGAGGCGGTTTGGTTCACTCGGGGGGCGGNGTTGTTGAGGATTTCTGTGCCCCTCTCTGTCGCTGGTTGTGGCCGATTTCTGGGGACTGCCGTTGGTTCTGTCGATGCTTCTCTGTCCCGATAACTTGTAACGTGCAATCTACACTTGTCATGTCGTGTGTGCATCGCCTGAAGGATCTTTTCGTGTGTTTCTTCTCTTTGTGTTTTCATCTTGTCGTGCACAAAATCACCAGTGCTCGGCTAGTTACGTCATGCTCGTCACCGGGTATCTATTAGAAGAAACAAGGTTGATAACGGACGCTGTTGATACTGTTGTGTGAACGAACGCCACTGGTGCGGCGCTGTTGCTGCTGTTCCGGGCGTTGCTGCAGCAATACGAGGCGGCCGTGGCCAAGGGTGAGGACTACGGCTACGACAAGCACCTGGAGTCCATCCTGGTCAACCACATCCAGGAAGTGGTGAGACTATGTATTGTAGTAGCTCTCTTCTTGGGGTGTTTTCCAGACAATCGAAAAAAAAAACTCTCGTGAGTGGAAGAGCGGGGGGGTGTATGATGCATACAAGGGAGACCGGCCTCAGCGACACCCCGCTAGCGTTCCCTCGCAGACGCGCTCCAAGCACCGCTAATCCAATATGCGTCGTGCACAGAACCTCGCTTCGTTTTCGTTTTTCCCCAATCTCTGTTACTATGTGTGTGTGTGTGCCTATCGTCTTGCTGCTGACAGCCATTCTTGGATGGATAGTGTCCTTTGGATGAGGTGATGGCCTGTCTTGTCGCGGTCCACGCACAAGGCCTCTAGAGTAGTAGACTATTGGTTCCTGCGATATCTCCTGTTGCCGGGTGCAACATACTTGAGTGAGACGGTGGGGCACCGCATTCGACAGCATGCACTTTTTTTCTGTAAGCCTGTTGCTGTTGTTGAGCCCGGGTCTTCGTTCCCTTCGGCAAAACCGTACTGTCGGACTGAGTCACCTGTCACGGAAGTCCCGTGTATGATACGGCCCGTACTCCGTGAATCTGCCGACACCCCTCGCCAACCCATTGCCTTCCCTACCCCGGACCCCTGGCTCCTTTTTTGTTGATTGGTTATGTATTTTTTTTTTGGGGGGGGGGG